AAAGAAATAGTATGCAAAACTTGAAGGAAAATTAAAGAAAAAGAATAAGAAGAGACACTAAGAGAGTTAAAGACAGAAACAGCTTCTGGTATCTCAGATATAAGCTATATACTAATCAAAAAAGCAGAAATAAAAAAATAAGAAATCTTCAGAAGTTTTGCAGACCTATGCTTAAAAATAGGAGAAATTCCAATAAAGTAAAAAATAGCACAAGTTTATCTAATACCAAAGAATATAAAGTAAGAATATAGTTTAAACAACATTTGTCTAATAGCACTAATCAAAACATTTAGAAAGGTTGTTACAAAGATAATAATGAAAAGGCTTGCCAAAGTATTATGAAATAAGAAATACTTAAAGGACTGAACTTCACAGGTCTTCCAGGAAACTCAACAGAGCAATCAGTATAAATTTTAAACATGATAATAGAAAAAACAAAAAAAAAAGATAAAAAAATATAGATACTGTTGCAAGATATGAAAAAGGCATTCGACTCAGTTCCTCTTGAAAGTCTTGAACTAGCATTGCAAAAAATTAAAATACTTAGGAAAACAATTAAATAAATATTGAAACTTTTTCACAAGAGACAACTAAGAATAATTACAGTATATGGCCTAACAGAAGAACTAATAGTAGGAGATGGAATAGACCAAGATAAGGTAATCTTACCACAAATATGCCATTTCTTTTATGACCTATTACTAGAAAGAATTCAAAAAAATAAAGGATTAGGGTATATAGTCAAGCAACAAATACAAATAGGTATACAATGCAATAATATTACAAGATATTGTCAAGCAGCAATTGCATATGCAGATGATACAACATGAATTGCAAACAGTAAAAAGCAACTATTAGAGATCTTAGAAATAGCTGAAGAGTTCTTTGAAATGAATGATATAGAGATAAATGGATCAAAGTCAAAACTGATAATAATGAATACAAAAATCGAGAAAGAGGAAATGCAGTAATCTATAGGAAAAGCAAGATAATAGATGAACCAAAACACAAAATAGTCAGCTCATTAGAAATATAATTAAACAGCAGAATGCAAGAAGTGCAAGTAAAAAAGAAGGCAAAAGGAATAGTAAACTAGACTATAAGAAATTTAAAGTATAAAAAAATGATGATAAGCTAGATTGCATATATAAACAATATTGTAATAATATCTAAACTAAGCTATATGTTATAGCTAATGAAGTTATTAGACAGAAGTTTAAATAAAATACATCAACCAATAATAAGTCTAATAAAACAAAAAAGCAGCCTACAAAGAATAGTAAAAAATTGTATAATAGAGTATAAAGATCTTGGCAGTTGTAGAACATTATAACAAGAGTTAAGCATGAAGCAAATAAATAGCCTCATAGTAAGGCTGAACAGACAAGACAGCCTTGGACAATTAACAAGACTAAGAATAATACAAAACTGTCAAAGAGCAGTCTTAGCAGAAAATATATTAAAGACAAAATAATGGCCAGAAACTGAAACATATTTAAAGAATAACTTAGTATACTTTACAATACTCAAAGTAAAAAAGCTAAAAATAAATATTAAAACAGAAACTGAGTTATGAACAATGCCTGAGCATGGTACCAAAATACAAGAACTAGTAGATGCATAATTGTGAAAAAAAAGAGTAGTTAAAGTAAATAAAACTGGTCTAATATATTTAAATTAATTACTTGACACAAGGAGAGAAAAACTAATCAAATAGTAACAACTAAAAAGCTATCAAGGCCAATCAAGTAAAAGAAAAAAGGCAGAATGGTTCAAGACAATTGAATCAAAGTGCTCAATAACCCAAAAAGTAAAGTAGTATAAAGATACTTTAAGATCGATAAACAAAATACTCAGGCAATACAAGTTAAATAAGAGCAAATATCAGAAGATAAAAAAAAAAAAGAATGGATAGTATATAATATATAAGATCACAGACAACTTGGAAAAATAGTTAAAAAAAAAAGAAAAAAATTTTAATTGAACATTGGCAAATGAAATACAAAGAGAATGAAGTAACAACCAAGATCAAAAGATATGAAGGGTGTATAAGAAAAGAAGAACAAATAGAAAACAGTTGTCAGCAATGAACAAGATTAAGTAAAAGCATTCACATAATTTTAGATAGATTAATAAGTAAAGGTAGCAATCAAATCAAGATAACAGTAGATCAAATAACAAACAAGACTAAAACAAGCAGATCAAAAATAAATAAATACAAATTAAGAGATCTTAAAATAATAGAGGAACTAGAGATAAAAATTATTAAATGACAAAAATTAAAAGAAAATATTAGTCAAAAAATAATAGAAGTCCTAAAAAGAAATATTAAAAGAAACAAGAGCAAATATACAATATATACTGATAGTATAACTAATAGAAAAGACAGTAAAGAGCTAACTGTTAAGAACAGTATAGGTATAGAATAGGTCCAAACAAATGAAACACAAGAATGATCAGAAGAAGAATTAGTACTTGGACTTGAAGGATGGCAAACATTAATAATAACAGAGTTGGTAATAATTTGGATAGCAATCTTAATAATACTGAAAAAAAATTAAATTAAGATATACAATGATAGTAATGCTGCAATAAGAAATATTAGTAGAAGTCTAAAACAAGCTGATAGAAACAAGATTATTAAAAAGAAGAATACAATATAGATAATGAAGATTAAAGATCTTATCAAAATGAAAAACATTCAGATAAATTTAATTAAAATGAAAAGTTAAAATAAAGATAAATAGAATAATAAGGCTAATAGTTTAGTAAAAAAAAAAAATAATGAGTAGGAAAATAATACAGACCAAAAAAGTTAGTTGTAAAGAGATAGACTACTGCCTAGAGTAGGAAAACAGACTGACTGACATACTAGCCAGATTGCTATATAAGTTAGTAGAGAATACAAAAATAGAAGCAGAATAGAAAGAAACAAAAACAATTAAAAGTTTTAGAATTAAAAACAAAAACTACAATTTATGATTGGACTTATTTTTGGAAAAGACTAAAAATGATCAAGGAAATACATTATACAACAAGAAAAAACAATTTCAGAAGAAGTGCATTTATTAAGTGCATAATAGATAAGCTTTCAATTCTGAAAGAACTCAACAAAAGAAGATCAGATATATACACAACAATGAAATGCCAAATATGCCAAGATAAAGTAAAAAAAATGTAAGCATACTAGATAGTATGCAAAAAACAAAAAAGTCTCTGAAAGAGAATCCAAAAAATGACTATTGCAACAGCATGGAAGAAATTAAAAAAAAAGAAAAAATACAGATTCTTCTATATATGTTATATACAACACTCTTTGAAAAAACAGAAATAAAAAAAATTAAAATGAGAAAAACACTAATAAAAAGTCTAATTCTAAAAGAAATGTAAGACAAACTGGTACAATTTTTAAATTCAAAATCAAAACAGCAATTTTCAAATGCAGTAGCAATAATGACCTGGGATATATTTTACAAACAAGTATAAAGAATATGTTATGAAAAAATTATCAAATGGAAGGAAAAAATTAAAATAATAGGTAAAATTAAAAGAAAGAAAAATGGAAAGCTGAAGGAATCAAGAAAACAAAAAAAGACAAATCAAGAAAAAATAGAAAGAAAAAAAGAAGAAATAAGAGAAAAAGAAAAGCAAATTGAGAAGGAAGTAATGAAAACAATGTTGGGACTTGTTATAAAAGAAAGAAGACCCTTACATTATGGACTTTAAATAATCAAACAAGCAACTTACTTCTGCTCAAAGTAATATGACAGATTGCACTTAGATACCAACAAGATGACTGAGTAATACTAAACTTAGATATTAGAGATATTTATGTAATTACAAATGTAATTCCAAAAGCTTAATAAAGTATTAACATGACTGCTTATATGTTAAAAAAAAAATAAATAAATAAGATATAGAATCAATAAGCAACAATATTCAGGTATTTTAGTAGATTCTTTTTCATAAATAGTAAAAAATATTACACATCAAAAAGATACTTTAGTCAATACTATACAGTATATTTTTTTTTTATAATTTAAATTAAATATTACTATAATATAATTCTTATTTTTAAATATTATCAAATAAAATTTTATTTAAATTTTTTAAAATTTAAAAAATATAAATCATAAACATATTTTTAACAATTTTCCAAACAAATTTGTCTAAAAAAGCTTACAGATTAAAGAATATCAAAATTCAAAAGAAATTTTTTTTTATTAAAGTGCAGAAAGTGGTTTCATAATCAAAATTTTTAATTGTTACCTGTTTTTTAAAAAAAGCGTGATTTTCACGTTACACCTGATCTAATGATCTTATGACGACAATCATTCAAAAAAATCCGATTGGTGCATATACGACGATCTGAAATGCGTAAGATATATAATCATGTGACAAATAGCCAATCAACCAGTCGAATAGCATAAAAAATAATGAAAATCCTTAAAATATACCCAGGGTAGAGGTTATTATCCTGTGTCTGAATTTTAGTTTTTTAGGGTTAGGGTTAGTTGGCACGTGATGACTATTTTAAATTTAATTTATTTATTTTTGGTCATAGGTTAAGAGCCTATACCCCAGGTACATTTTAAGGACGCCCAAAAATAATAAAATTATTAATAAAAAATCACGTGGATGTCTTTTATAAAGGGGTGGCAATTTACAGTATTGCATTTCAAATTTCAGACATTTAAGTAGCCACAAGAATATTAAGGATAATTTTAATCCTCAAATTTTTAACAATTAGGATCATATAGTACAATACTTTTTTAAAAGATTAGCAGCTAATCCAACGGATCCGCTTTCAATACAAATAAGTGATAAATTGTATGCGGCTTCTTTTTTCAAGTCTGTTGGATCATCATTATCATCATCATCAATAATTTCACTTATATTATTGCTCCCCTTTAATTATTATTTGAGTAAATATACAAAGACAACATCATTTAATAAAATGTAAAAATTAATCTCGATCTTCTCAAAAGAAATCAAATTACCTTTTTCTGTTCCCTAAGAACTTTTTGTAAAGATGGCAGCTCAAGAGCTTTTTTATAATGAGGTACTGCTAAATGCATTAAGCCTGTTATATGAATAAATGATTTAATATCGTATTTGGTTTAACAAGAGAAGGTTTACCAATTCATAAAAGAAAAAAATTGTACCTAAATGATGAAATGCCCTTCCAAGATTATATTCTGCTTCTTGGTTACGAGCTTTCAACTCATAATAATTATACAAGAATGTAAAGCCCTATTTAAAGTACATGTTCTGAAGGATTAACATCAGCTGTTAGCGCAAATCATGTTCAGGATAATTACCTGCATAATTTGCATATGTCTATTATCGGTTTGTCTCTGCATCGCCCGATGCAAGTACGCAAGCCCGATAGATAAACTAATTACAGGGTCTTTTGGTTTTTCAGCATAGGCGCGAGCGTAATAACCTGATAAATTGTAATAAATATCATTAAGTTTGAACCTCGCTACTCCATACTGATTTTCACAATTTAAATTTACCAATAGCACCAATATAACTCCTCGCACATGCTAATATATGGCCATAAAGAGCCAATAAAGCATCGTTAGGTTTTTCTGGTGCGTTTACTTTTTTGTCCCCGGAAGCACTGATATTATCCATTGATTTAACTTGGCGTAGGAAATATTTCTGCGAATTTGCTGATGCGAAACATGATAAGGCATTTGTACCACTAAATCATTTTTGTTGAAATAGTCAATAAAAGCCCAGAAATTTGATGATTAAACCATTAAATTCAATATACCTAGCCATGCCTGCTCCATATAACCTATAAACTTTACTATCAAATGGCTTAAAATTGCATAACCATCTTGTACTTTCACATACAACTAAAAAATTACGAGTGTAAAGCCCCCAAGCTTTTTATCAAATAAACCGTAAGTGTTGATACGTTGTGATGAAATAAGTACATATATCCCAATATCTACCTAATAATAACAGCTTAAATCCAGTTTTATATTTACTGTTGTGATAAAAAACGTTGGCTCTAGAAACGGTTCGGAGAACATCAAAAGCTTCTTGCTCATAGCCGTATGTAGTGGCAATAAATATATACTATTAAGGATTCATCATAATTGTAAGACATTAAATAGATTGTACAATGGTAGAGCTTTGACAATAAATTTTAAAAGTTTAGAATTTACACTATTGATTTAAACTACCAAATGTATCAAAGTTTACCTTGTTATTTGTTTTAAACAATAACTTACCCTGATGGAAAAGTCGAACCATTGCGCAAACGTTAGACCCTGGAACTCTGTCATTTTTTTATGTATTTCGGCTTCCAATTCTCCAATTTCACCATCTACAGAAAGTTACGTTGTTAAGAAATGAAGATAAAAGAAATTGGAATAAATGTATGAAAAAAAAAAAGTTCGAACCAATTTGCCATTGTAATCGTTTAGCCATTGTGGTTGCTTGTTCTTCAAGAGCTGCATCATCATCATCAGCAGCTTCCGCTCTTAATGCCATTTGTTTCCTCCAACATCTACGACGGTCAAAACCTTTATATGGAATCATCTAATAATTCCGAACAATTAATAAACATACACACTACTTTTTAAAAACTTTAAAAAAATATAATATAATAGTGCCTTGTCTCTAGGAAAAAATTGTCTATGATTTTTAAGATCCTCAAATAAAATTCTAGCTGTTTCTAGAAACTCTTCAGCAGATTTTTTGTCGCCAGTCCTTAAACGAGCATATAATAATTCAAGTCTATGAAATTGAATCTTTGTCTCTTTTTCTTTTTCAGCTTGTTGTCTTTTATGTTCTTCCTGGGTTCTTTGGAAAGCGTTAGCTTTCGTTTCTTCCAACTCATGAATTAGAGATGAATCCATGTTTGGCAGAAATGTTGAGGGAGCATCATAGATATCAAAAGCAATAGGTCTATTTTGCGCAGTTAATGTCTGTTGTGATTTTATGGTTTCATTCGTAGCTCTTTTAGATTTGCGATGTTCGAGAACTTAAAATAACCCATGTAGTTATTATGTGATAAATTGTATCGTAATTATCTCGTGATAGTAATTATTATGCTAATCTGTATATACCTAAATTAACCATTTCAAGAGCCCTTTCATTTTCACCTAATCCCTCGTATACTTCAGCAAGGGCCATTTTAGCATCCAAATCATCAGGTAATTCTTCCACCGCTGTCATAAAATTGATAGATTATTAACAAGGTAATAAAACCATATATAATTTGTAAATTATCTCACCTGCTTTATAAAATTCTACAGCACTTTGCAAGTTTCCTAATTCACGATGACATGCCCCAATTCGAAGCCATGCAGTTGCATTATCTGTCTGAAATTCGATAATTTGTAAATATCAGCAACTAGCTAAAAGATTGTCAACTATTAAGAGTAAAAGCGTTTAATAGTTACTGATTCATTCGAAACAACAATTTCATAAATCGCCAACGCATCTTCAAACAATCCTTTTTCAGCATAAGTCTCAGCAACCTCATAATACAGGTCAACATATTTTTCAACTTTATAAAAGTCGAGATACGCAAAATGTAACTATTTATTAATATTAAAAAGGAAAGTAATTAATGTATGTGTTTACATTACAATTAGAATCTTAATAAAGTTAAATCACTTGCTTTTGCCTCTTCGAGTTGTTCCAATTCGACTCTACATTGTCCTAATTTAACTCTTAATTCCAATGGCAACGGAACATTTGAGCCACCAACGTTATCCATACCATTAAATCGAGTCAATAACATAGATGTATCTCTTCTATTTGCCTTCTCATCTTCTTCATATTCTCTGTCATCAGCAACTGTATCCCACCAAGTTTCATTCTCTCTTCCTTGCAACCAACGTACACCACGTTTTATGAAATCAATAGCACTACTAAAATCATTTGTAAGCATATACAGTTCAGCCATGATGTTGATTTCTGAATATCCAAAGCTGCCTTCAGATTCAGGATCCTCCGGAAAAGGTCGACTCCTATAATATTCGTATGCGTCAAGATAGAGTTCAATGGCTTGTGGGATCTCATTTAATTGCACGTGTATTTTTGTAATTTCTCTAATGATATTCATGTCATAAGGCATTTCTTGTAAAAGTTTCTTAAATCCGTCAATCGCCTTAAGAAATAAACATTATTAGTGAAAATTTAAGTTGAAAATGAAACTAACAATAATATGTTTTCAAAATCTACTTTTCTGTATTCCCCTATTTCTCCATAAAGAATGCATCTATCCCAAATGGCATCATCATCATTAGGATCACATCTAATCGCCTTAGAAAAGCAATATATCGCTTGATGAAGAGCATTTTGATTTCTAATACGAGGGCTAAGTAAGGAAAGTAGTATAATAAACAAGCTGAGGAGAATTAAAGTAACATACTTGCTTGACAAACCTAATCTTTTCCATAATGAAGCGTCCTTTGGTGTTAAATGAGCAGCAACTAAGTATAATTGCAAAGCTTTGTCTGGACATCCCATCTCATCCTGTATGGTTCCTAACGTAAACCAAGCGATATGAATATTCGGATCCATCTTTACAACCTCTTGAAGAATTGCAATGGCTTCTGGGTATTCTTTATTAACATAGTGTAAGTTCGCATCACCCAATAATTTCTTTAGCATAGGCGATAATGTGCGAGTTCTTGGACCATTCTATAAAGCATGAACGAAACATCATTTTGAACCTTTTTATACGAGGGAAAAATGATAATTTACAACTATCTGGAATGATAAGTACCCTTCCCTTCCGAATTTTTCCTATTCCGCTAGTGATTCTCAGATCTTTATTAAATTCATTCCATTCACTTTCTAAATTTTGCCATAAATGAGGAACGACATCACCAGTGGTAAGATCTTTCCCAATCGCTTGAGCTTGAGACAGAAGTCGCCTTTGTTTTTGTATCATGATGAGCTTAAAACATGATCGAAATAACCTAAATGCTTAGCAAGTCAAAAGATAAAGTAATTACTCAAAATCTTCCTCATCTTCTGATTCAATATTATCATCATCGTTCAGACGATTTTCTTCGCTTTCGTTTAAACTAGAACCTATTTCAGTCATGAATTCATGAATATCTTGAATGTCATCCTGAACTTGAAATTCAAATTGATCCAAATCATCGAATGGCATTAATTCTGGCGGGGTTGGCTGTTTAAATACAGGGATTTCGTCAAATGTAGAGGATGATTCTAAAGTGACATCAGTAGGTATGCCTGGAGGCATAACTGCGGTTTCAGCGAGCATATGTACTATGTCAGCGTCATCGTAAGTATTGTTAAGCAAGTCGAGAAAGGTGCTCGGTAATGGTGGAGGGCGTGGTTGTAGAGTGTCAAACATTATAATTAATCAAAACTATGTTTACAAATTCGCAAATCCATCAAGTGCGGATTTTTTGATGGCCGATGATCATCCATTTTTTTAAATTATTTGATTGGCTAATAGTTATAATTTTTTGATTTGCTAGTAGAAATGCAACACCTCTGGTGACTTAATTTAGAACGAATCCATTATTCTCGTGTAAGATAAATATTCGCGATAATACAGCTGATGATGCAATTTACACCTCTGGTGATTAATAAATAACTTAATTCAGAATGAATTCATTATTCTCGTGTTAGATAAATATTCGCGATAATACAGTTTAATATTATATGTAGTAAAATATATTTAGGGAACTTTTTGTACAGTACATATCACAAATATTTGTATGACATAACTTATGTAATTTAAAATTAAATAAAATGTGTAAAACTCGTCAATACAATTTATTAAAATTTATTTAATAAAAATGACAAAACAAAAATTAGTAATGGTTCTTGTTCCGTTAAAAATTGCAATAAAAATTCAAATTCTTTTGGTATATAACTCAATTGGCTATTAAAAAGGCAGTCACTAATAGTACAATTCAACAGTATACCTATTTACTATCTGGTCAACAAGTCTGTCATTTGCATTATGATTATTGTTGAAAATAAGTCAATGCATAAAGATAGTCTTACTTCAAACTTACTAAATAAATTATAATTTGAAGATCAAATTAAAAAAATAACAATAGTTTTATATAAAAAAAGACAGGAAGACTTTATGCTTGACCTAAAGAAATTTAATAAAATTTTTGAAAGCACAAATTCAAATCTAAAAGGCTTTTTGTTGAAATGTGTAATATATTAATACCAAATAATTGATCTTATTATAATCAAAATGAAAATAAAAAACAAATTATTATAATTTTGTATTTGATGACTGAATTGTGAAATAAGCACATTAATAGTTTCAAGTTAGAACTAGTCTTATATCTTGCAAGATCAAAAACATTGTATAATGTAATTAATGCACTAAGTAATACTGAAATTCTTATTACTTATCAAACTGTATATAATTATAAAAAAAAGATTACTAGTAAGCATTTGTTAAGGATAGAGGGCAGTATTTTAAAATTATATACATATAAACCTAATAGTAAATTTTTTTATATTTAATTTTATGAAAAATTATATTAAGTAAACTAATTTTAATTATTAAATAGAAATTGTAGAGTAGGTCTTTCTGATTCTAATGATAGTAAAATTATTAAAATAGGTTAAAAATTTATTGAGATATAAATTTTTAAAAATTAGAATATAAAATTATAAAATAAAATTAACTAATAGGTTTATGTAAATTAACCAATCAAATTCTTTATTTTTGTATTATCTAAGAAAATTTTAACTTATTTAAGTAAACTTTATTATATATATAAATATATTTTTCTAAAATAAAATAATACATCAAAATTTTACTATAATAGATAAATAATTTTATTTATAATATTATAAATTTTTTTTTATTAATTAATTAAAAAATAAAAAACTTTTATTAGTAGCATATATCAATTTTAAATAAAAATTTTAATATACTATACATAATTATATAAAAATAATCTATATACTTCCTACTTTTAAAAATAGAAAATTATTTTAATAATAATAAAATTTATATATTTATAACTTAAATAATTATTATAATATATAACAATTTAATAATTTTTTTCTTTCAGATATTTTTTATTTTATAATATATATATATAAAAAGTTAAAGTATTTATTTTAATACTAATTATATTTAATAAAATATTTGTTTACAATTTAAACAATATTAAGGTTTTATTTATTTATAAAAAACTAATTTATAAATATTACAAATACTTTAACTTATTATATTTGTAATAAAAAACTTAATAGAATAATTTTTTTTTTTATTTATATAATATTATAGTAGAAACTTTAAAATACAATAAGAAATTTAATTACAAAAAAAAATTCTAAAATAAAGATTTCTAAACTACATTTGTGTTGCTAAAAAAATAGACATCCAATATAACATTACACCTCCTATTTCCTAATGAATGCTATAGATAATTATTTCAAATTATTTTTAGCTAGAATAGGTTAAAGGAAATCTTAAATGAGAGTCAAGATATTATATAAAGCATGTAGTTAAAGTAAAATCTTGTAAGTACCATTTGTTAATTGCTAGTAGAGGCCTGCGTTAAGTCTCGCAGTCTAGGCCTGAAGCAAAATTTTATAATTACAGACTGGACTGGGCTGAAAAATTTGCAAAACTTTATAATTGCGAGCCAATGCAGATCTAAAAATTTGTAAAATTATATAAGAAATTTTTGCAGGCCAGGCCAGGCTGAGTCAGGCTAAAGAAAAAATTTAACATATATGGGCCAGGCCAGACTGACAAAAAAATGATAACCCTAAATATAGGCCAGGCTGGACCTAAAAAAATTTTTAACTCTAATTGCAGGCTAAACCAGACCTCAAAAATAAGCAATTTGCAGACCTCTAATTGCTAGTAAAGTATTAAAAGTTTGCATAGTTCTTGAGAGGTTGTTAGTGAAAATAGATATTATTGAAAAGTAATTTTTGTATATTTAGTTTTAGTAGTTATATTTCGAGCAAGTTTCTACTAATGTTGAGATATATTGCATATAAACTATAGATCTTGATAGTACCAGATGAGAAGATTGTTGGCTAAATTAGTCAAAAAGATGTTTGTTTGTTTGTTTAAAAGAATTTTAATATTATTGTAAATAGATATAAAAAAAGTGTCAGATATGGCATATAAGATAAATTAGTAATTAGAATTAGTGCAGTTGATTATAAAGTTTAAGATAATATTAAAAATAGAGAGTGCTAAACTGTTAGATATTTGAAATGAGATAAGTGTTAATTGGATTGTATTAAGGATTGCTTAATTTATATTAATATTATTGCCTGCATAAAAGAAAAGATGAAGTGTGTTTTCAAGATTTGTATATTGAGAACATGTTATTATTGTATAGAAATAAGGATAGTGTATATTAAGATTTTCTATAGTAGGCAGGTTATTTGTAAGGATTTTGATATGAAAGGAGTATTTTTAAGTATCATGTTTTATAGATTTGATTATTTGAAAATTGAGAGCCCAGTTAGATTCTGAGATATTTTGGAAGTATTTAAGTATAGACCAAAAAGAAAGTTTTTAAATTGTAATAGTATTTTTAATAAAGTTATGAATTTTGAATGGTATAAGATGATTATTCTATAAAAAGTAAGTTAGAGTACTTGGCAGTGATAATTTAAGAATAGGTTTGAAAATTCCTCATTTAGCTAAAAAGTCTGCTTAGTTATAAAATAAATTTGTATATGATTTAATTTTTAAAAATTGTATATTAAGGTTTTTAAGAGTTTTAAGATAATTGATAAAAAAATAATATCCTAATTTTTAATACATAATTGTTTTAAGAGAGAAATGTGTTGCAAGTTTTTAATTGCTATTTGGTTATCGAGATGGATTGTAATAGTAATGTTTGATGATATAACTAAAAGAAGTGATAGAACTGCTTTAAGTTTAGTACAATTAGTATTAGCATATGATTTTGTATTTGTATTAAAGTTTATATTAGTATTTTTTTACAAATCTAGCCTATATCTGATTTAATATTTGGTGTTTGACAGTCTTTGATAGAACCATCAGTATAGAAGATTAAGTTGTTTAAATTAGAGTTTTTGATTGAGAAGTAAACTTTGATTAATTGATTTTTATATGAAGTTGATTTAACAGTTTGTTGAATAAGTTGTATTTCAAGAGAAGTTAAGTTTACTAAGAGATAAAAAAGAGGTAAGAGTTAAGGAGAAGTGTAATTGTTAATATAAATAAGTAAGAGAATTTCATTAAAGTCAATTTGTAATAAGTTTTTAGTGAGTTTAAGTTAGTTGTATAAAATACTAATAGATTGAAAATTTGAGATTATTGGAAGTGAAGTGGAAGTAATTATAGTAAATCCAGATGAGTAATAATGAAGTTAGTAGAAATTGGTTTGTTGGAAATAAATTTGTTGTAAAAGAAAGATTTGTTAATTGATATTGTAGAAGATTTTGTAAGGAAAGATATAGGTTGAAGAAAAGAAAAGAATGTCTATCGAGTTGATAAAGGAGTTTTTGGAAAGAAGATTTAAATAAGACCAGGTTGTAGTGATATTATAATTTTGATTAGAAGAGAAGATTTGTATAAACCAAGTTGGTTAATGATCTTGTGTAGGTTTGTTTGTTTATAAATATATGTTATTCTAAGAAAGAAAGCATGAATTGTCTGCTGTTATAATTTGTTCAAAAAATAAGATTCTGTTATTTTTTAGACTTTAAATAGTTAAGTTGGATAATTTTGAAGGAAATACATTATATATTGTTTTGTAGTTTGTAAAGATTTCTGATGATAGTAAAAAGTTAGACAATAAGATATTGTGTTTTACAAGTTGGCAAATATGAAAAATTAGTGTGAAGTTTTGTGTTTTGTGATAGTAAGTATTAAGTATATTTATTGTAAGCTTTGGCTGCCAAATTTTGAAAAACTAGGCCTTAGTTCACAAAGTGCTAATAGTATTAAGTAAAAGTATAGAATTGAAAATTCATTCAATATTAGAAGCACTTAATTTTTGTAAAATATTATTGAAAGTTGGTAGGTTAAAGGATAGTAAATTAGTAAAAGTAATATTATTAATATTTCTTTCTAGTGCTAGTATTTTTTTAAATTAGATAGTAAATATTTGAGAGAGTTTAATTTGAGTATTTTGGTGAATTAGAGTTATTTGTAGTAAATATTCCAGAGAAAGCTAAAGAATAAGATTGAAAAGGGATGGGGTCTCATAGCCTAGTGGTCTAGGCGCCCCTCCCTCCACAAACAAGGTCGATGGTTCAATCTCAGCTAGAGGCAACTCTGTAATCTATGGAAGCATATAAATGTATATGAAGCCCAGTGGCTAAGTCCATGTGATTAGAAAATTGGGGTATAAAAAAGTTCCCGGAAAAAAG